TGCCTCCATCTAAATAATTCAGACTCATCCAAATAATTCAGTTATACCCCAGACACACCTTTTCCTCATCTCCCACTCTGCACTGTCCCTTAACTCTTTTCAACTCTTTTATCTCATTCATCTCCTCCCCTACCACAACTCCTCTCCAGGCCTCTTTCAACCAGCTCTAAGCTTCCTATGTCCCACCTAGTACCCCCAGCTCTGCACTCATGCAGTGCTTGGCTCTCCCCCAGCCCTCCCCTCACCCCTGCTCTTCCATCATCTCCTCCAGCTCGAGGCATCGCAGCTCCACCCGCCGCTTGCGCTCGTGGTCCAGGATGTCAGGATTAGGCCGCTTCACCAGGGCAGCCTCCAGGCGCCGCAGTTCCTCCTCTCCCTTGTAGTCAGGCCGCTCACCCCGGCGGCCCCGCACCAGGGACAGGTTGCGCTGGACGTAGCCGTTGGTGCCGCTGCCCCGGGGCGTCGGCAGCCCGATCCCGTTGTACATGGCCCTGTGCCCGGGGGTGGGGGGGGCACCACCGCTCCTGGGGGGGAGCGGGGAGACACAGGTCAGGCCCCTGACCCCAAACTAACCACTTACCACCACCCAAGTCCCTGTTCTTCTTCATCCCTATTTCACCATTTTTTCTTCATGCTAAATCTCCTTTAGCAGCATAAAGCTTCATCATCTTCCTGGCCTCCTAATAAAACCCCTTCTGTCTTTCCTGTACTGCTTCCTTTCCACCAAATCACAGCCCACTTCTTTATAGCCTTCCCACCACTCCCCATGCTCTTGCACAGAATTCAAAATCATTCCTCCTTGCACCTAGATTTTCTTTTTCCATCCTAAGCAAACAAGGACCCTATTTCTCTCATATCTCTCCACACTGTCCCTTATTCTCCTTTGGCCCCAATACACACAAGTGGTGTCTTCACCAACTAATCTAATTCCTAATCTCTGGTAACTGACTGAGGTCTCCAAATAGAACACAACGAACAGCAGCCATAAATCTTTGGCACCCAAGGACCTGCAGTGCATGTCCAAAGACTTCCCAGAACTAACTTAAAGATTTCAGACTATTCTGTACAAATATATAAATGACAAAAACAGCCCACAGATATCTAAACAATTATACCGGTTGGTTAAGATAAATCCAAAGTGTCCTGAGCAGTCTCACCCCCAGGCTAAAGGCCAGCATGCACATCAGAAGCACACATGAAACTTGTATACATAATCTTCTTATACTTCACCTCCCAGGTAAGAAGCCATTTCCTTGATTCCAAACATTTATAGTTCCTATCAACTATCCTAGTATTTTATTCCTTCATTTCCTTCCCAACAGGATTTACCACGATTTGCAGCTCCTCCAAATCTCCTATTAAATATCACCTGTTTTCAACTAAGTGCTCTATTTAAACACATCTGACCAGCCTACTCTGTTCCAACTGTTGTCATACCTTCTCTACATACCTTGCCCTAAACTTAACTAGAAAACCCTCACTCTCTATACCTCACTTCCATTAATGTCCAACTGCATCAGCTTTCCCTACCAATCCCCTGTACGCACTTCTAGTTTTTTTCTCCCAGCCCTGCTTTCTCCCTCTCATCTGTTAACCCTATGCCTCCTGCCAGATTCTATCCTCTCAACTTGTCCCAACCCCACATGACTCTGAAGAACCCTCAAGCTCTGGTTTTACTAGTTAGATTTCTTGGCTACACGTTCTATATTCCTTTCTCCTGCCACATATACTCGTATTTCTTTCTCTGACTCAAGCTCTCAAAGACAGTTTCAGAGCATGAATGCATGAAGGAAAATTACCCCAGGGAAAAACCCCAAGAAACAGGCAAAGTGGACAGGTTAGTTAAAGCAGATGGAATTAGAAGAGAAGGCTGTATTTGGAAAATTCCAGAATAAAGAAGCACCATATAAATACCTATGGAAATGTACTAAAGTGCACCCAAAAAGGAAAAAAAAGGTATGAGGGGATGTTGAATGGAAGGGAGCTAGCCCAGCTCCAGAAAAGCTTACCACCACTGCCCCCCCAATCCCAGTAGCAGACCCACAAAATAATTGAAAGCAAAAGACAACTGTACCAGGATAAAGGAGTGACAGATAAGGCTAAATCTAGGAAAGTGGAAATGCAGGAAGAAATGAAAAACTTGTTTTATCCTAAGAAATCAGTAACTCTACCTTCCAACCCTTACTTTCATTTTCTATTACCAATCCTCCCCACTCCAAACCTCTGCCTCTCCATAACCCACCTAATTTCTCTTCTGCTGAACGCTTCTGACCTTCAATTAATTCTTCAGCCGAACCATTCACCCACACTTCCATACCACCTCACACAAAAATCCTCCCACTCCTTAAGGAGGGAAAACCAGCAACTGGTAAGTAAAGGGTATTAAGTCACAACGTTTTAGAGAACTTTCAGGAAATGAACCAAGCATGAAAAAAAAAAAAAAAAAAAAAAAAACCATAGCATTCAAAGCAGTGCTCAAGACATTAAAAAGAGAAACTAACATCAACATAAACCACCAAAACCAGACGACTTCATAAAATAAGGATTCTTAAACAGGGGTCCACAGACTGTGGGTATGCAAAAGCTACCCAAGATAAAGGCAGAAAGAGTAAGCTGCAAAAGAAGACAAAAAAGAATTTTTTGTCCGAGAATAATCAGAATGCCAAGCCAATAAGGAGACAGAAGTGTTATCTTGAAATTCAATGTGAGGGCCTGTGGCCCCTGGCTCACTCGGGAGAATCCTATATAGGGATGGCCGGTTGGCTCACTGACTGAGCGTGGTGCTGACAACGCCAAGCTAAGGGTTAAGACCCCCCCTTACCAGTCCTCTTTTTTTAAAAAAAGAAATTCAGTATGATGGCACTCAAGAAAGAAAATGGCACCAGAAGGGAGGAGGGGGCGTCCAGGAAAATGGACATTGGTAAGACCAGCACGCTCAGCACTGGGCACTGTAGTAGCTGAGTGGACACTATGGAATCAAAAGGCTAAAATACTACCTCAGAAAAAAGCCTACGCCCGCTCAATTTAGAGGAAAAGCAGCAAAACAGACTCTTCTTGAATTTTTTATTTAGAGAAGAGTTAGGCGGAAACTGAGGCTCAGAAGAGTTGTAGTGCCAAATACTGCCTGAAACAAGAAGCCAGAACCCTTAAACAGGGTCCAGCGTTTTCTTCCCAAAGAAGGGCTCCAAAAGACTCCCTACCTTTAAGACAACTTTTAGGGAGACGTTGAAAACGTGAAACAAAAAAAGGAGCAGATGATTTACCTTCCACAAGTAAACTGAATATATTTTTTTTAAGGCTTGGGGTCCTTCCCCGTCTACAACCTCGCGGCTGACAGTAACGAGTCCAAACCGTTTAATTCCGGGCCATCTCCCTCACCGCGCTGGCCGCACTGGCTAGGCCGCGAAGGACTATTTTCGGCCTTGGGGGAGGGGGGGGGCTGCACGGCGCCCCGCAGTCTGGGAGGCACCGGGCCAGCCCGCGGGCCCCAAAACGGACGGGGAGGCCCAACGCCAGAGACGCGCGGAAAAAAGGGATCGGGGCTGAAGTAAAATATCCAAACGCAGACGCCAGCTGCCGCCCCCTCCTCGCCCCTGAAAGGCCGAAAGGAGCAACTGCGGAAAGGCCGCCTCGGCCGCATGCGTGGGGGGAGAAGAGACGTGGAGCCGCGCGAGAACCCCTCGCCGAGGCGCGCGCGAACCCGAATGCAGGCGGCGGCGCGCGCCGTTGCCATAGGGGGCGGGGGGAGTCGAAGCCCGCGCACGACAGGAACGGCGGGAAGGGGGAGGGGAAGCAGCCAAGCGAGGCGTCCCCGCGGCTAAGGGCAGTAAGCGCGCGTGCGCGCGGCGGCCTGGGCCGTTCTCCGCGCGCTTTGGCCTCGCGCCGGGCCGCCGCCCCTCCCCCACCCAGCTCGCGCGCTCCCTCCCCCTCTCCCCCGCCGCCGCCTCCGCCCGCCGCCGCCGCCGCCGC